CCGCCCTCTCTCTCTCTCTCTCTCTCTCTCTCTCTCTCTCTCTCTCTCTCTCTCTCTCTCTCTCTCTTTTTTTCTTTTTTCTTTTTTTCTTTTGCGCGCACGCATGAAAAGGTAATCATTTTATTAAAATGTTGGGACATGTTGCCAATTACTTCAACAAAAATTATTGTTGCCTAACATGCCGTAAACGTACATACCAAAATTTGTGGCAATCACGTGGCTCAACCACAAATTCGGTGCTGCTAAGTGTTCAACAACCACTCATCTTTTGGGGATATCTTTACAATCGTCCCTACTCTTTATCTTTCATTTTTTGCATTATAAACAAAGTGCGTAGCTCTTTGACCGTTTTTTTTAATGAAAATTTTGTTCATTATAAATACAAGCATTATGCCTTCCCAAATTGCCAATCGAGTTTTTTATTTGCCAATATATATTATGCATGTGTAATGTTTTGTGAAAAATATTGGTCAATCAGTTTCTTTTTACTTTAGATCTTAACATCAAAAGTTTATCTATGTAGTACTCAGTTGCAAGTATTTAAAGTTTCTTATAATTGATCAACCTTATGATTATCCTAACTAATAATATAAATTTTGAACGTCATTATATTTGTTAACATCAATTTTTTTATTATTTTGAGGTAATCATTCTTGATGAGTCTCATTTGTATTTGAGACCGGGTTTACAGACTTTCGGGACAGGGCCGAACGCCTGAACTCGAACGCCCGAAGGTTCAGCACCCCCTTTCGACACGTTCGGTCGTTCGGCTAAACGCGAAAAAAAAAAAAAAAAACTAATAAAAAAAAAATTCCAACAGATTTGAAACAATATATCTAGGCTACCAGAGTGGTTCGAGGTCACTTGCCCGGTCGGACCAAAAACAATTAAAATATATATATTTCCTATTCTTGGAATTAATACTAAAAAGGCTAATAACTCAAGATGTCTCTTTTATGTGATAGTAACACACACAATATCAATTTTATCGTTCATTAATTCTCATCAATATTGTTTTCAATCAGTATTGTCCTTTTTTGAACTATATATTTTTGAATTTTATTTATTTTTTTAAATTTGGTGCAGAATTTCGATGTGACCCCGAGGCAAAAGTTGTTCAATTTATTTTTCTGCATAACATAGTTTTTTTTAAAGTTTTTAGTTTTTTTTTTTTTTTTTTTTTTTTTGGGGGGGGGACCTTCCCAGGTCCTTACACGGGCTGGCCACCGGGACCCGGGCGGCCCGGCTGGTAGCCTAGCAATATATGTTATTTAAAAGAATAAACTAAATAATATTTTTATTAATGTTACATCCAAAATACTAAAAATAAATAATAATAATAAAAATAAGAAAAAATAAAACGATAATAAAATTATAGAGTGGGCGAGCACATTTTTGACACCGCCATCTTTGGCGATTTTTCATTTTTCTTTAGCTGACAAATGTCATGAAAATTTATATATGTGTATCTTACATAATATAGAATTTATAAATAAAATTTGAAAAAATAATAATTTTTTTTCTGCCCCAAATTAAAAAAAAATAAAAAATGAAAAAAAAGAAAAAACAAATTAGTAAGTGGGAAAACAAGTTTTGACACCACCATCTTTCCCGATTTTTTTTTTTTTTTTTTGAACAAAATGGCTTCAAAATTAATAGGGTTACATCACAAAGAACCCACCAAACAAATTTAAGAAGAAAAACTAATAATATTTAGGTGCCAAATGTTCGGGTTCGGGCCCCGTACCGAGACCCGAACGCCCAAACGTTCGGGGGTCAGCTTAGAGGTCTCCGTACGTTCGGCCTGGCAACCCTCTGAGACTATAGATGTAAAAATAAAAAAAACAGCATTAGTATCCAATCTGTGTAAACTTATATTCGACAATTTTCTTTTACACTAATATACATATATATATGTATACAGGGTTGCCGGCCTTCGGGATGGGCCGAACGCCCGAACCCGAATGCCCGAACGTTTGGGACCCCCTCTCAACGCGTTCGGACGTTCGGCCGAACGCGAAACCAAAAAAAAAAAAAAAAAAAAAAAAAAACAGTTTCCAAAAATTCTGAAAAAAACATATGTCATGGAGAAGAATAAACTAAACAACATTTGCCTCAAAAGTACATCCAAATTCCTTAACAAATTTGAAATAAAAATCAAATACGAAAAATAAATAATATTAATAAAAATATGAAAAAATAAAACGAGAATGAAATTATTGCGTGGGCGAGCAAGTTTTTGACACTGCCATCTTTGGCAATTTTTCATTTTTTTTTGGCTTTGTCAAATTCCATGAAATTTTTTACATATGTATATTACATAATAGAGAACCTCCAAATAAAGTTTGAAAAAATAATAATTTTTTTCAGGCTCCGAAATAAAGGGAAAACAAAAAGTGAAAATAGAAAGAAAAAAAAAATTAGTAAGTGGGAAAGCAAGATTTGACACCACCATCTTTGCCGATTTTTCATTCTTGTTTGACTTGACAGAATGACTTCAAAATTGAGATACAGGTAGCTTACATAACAGAGAACTCACAAAAAAAACATTAGGAAAAAAAAAAAAACATTAGGTACCAAAATATTTTTTTTGCGGGGTCCGAACCCCTTTCGAGTTCGGGCCCCGTACGAGGACCCGAACGCCCGAACGTTCGGGGGTCAACTCAGGGGCCTCCGTACGTTCGGCCTGGCAACTCTGTATATATATATATATATATATATTATGACTATCGAATAATACAACCAGTTAACAAAATATACATTCCTACAATTTCAATGTCATTTAGCCAATGCAAACTATTGAACCATCTATGAAGATTAATTTGTATATGATTTATAGTATAAGAGTAAGTTTGAAACAACCAAAGTGATTGTGCATTATTTGTAGGCTTATACACACCTCTTAAAGTTACATAGATAAGTTTTATGCTTATTATTTATATACCAAGTTTGGTTCAAGGTGCAACTCCTCTATCTACCGATCATAAAGTTATTGAGTTTTTTTTTTAATAAGTTAATATTTTAACCTGTGATCGTAAATTTCAATAATTGACATTGATGAACATTTGTTATTTTCGTAGTTACTTTTAATCGCTAACAATTTTTTTTCAGATGAATCGGTGATACTTATGTACATTGTCTTATGTTATGATTATCGTTAAAAACAGTTGGGGATATAAATAATTTATAATTTTAATATATACAAGATCTTCGACATGTTTAATGCAGTATGTATAAAAAGGGGTATGAACAAAAAATATATACATTTTTTTGTGTTTCATATGCAAAAAGAACATGAGAATAAATTTCGAGTGTTTCACTTAATAATATATCGAAGGGTTAGGCTACTAGAGTGCCCAAAAACCACTTGCCCATTCGGACCAAAAGTAAATAAATAAAATAAAATAAAATTAACCTTATTCTTATTTTTATTTTGATAAAGAATTTTGATATGACCCTTCGATAAAAGTTGTTCGTTTTATTTTTTACATAACATTTTTTTTTTTCAATTTTTTTTTTTTCCGTAACTTCAGTAGAGTCACAAAAATAAGTTATAATTGTAGTATGGGGCAAGATACAGTTTGCAATTGCACTTCAGTCACCCTACCTTTTGTGATTCTCACGTAGTTTTTTTTTTTTTTTTTTTTTTTTTTTACTACCCGTACAAGCAATGGGATCCTGGTTGCTCGGTTGGTGGGCTAGTTGAAGCGTCCTTACACACCCAAAGTCATAAAAACGTTAATCATGAAACTTTGTATAAAAATATCCAGAAAATAATTTGAGATAAATGATTTCTAAAAATAATATTTTACGAACAACAAACGTTTTTTATATGTCATACGAAAAGATTAAAGAGGCGACAATAGATGTCGCCATACCTTTCGTTCATAATCCCCTACCATCAAATATATATCTTGATTAACTCGACCACTTCATACAAACAACTAGCAGTAAATATAATAATGCTCGGAGATTAAATATTTCATGTGTAAATTCCGTGCATTGAAACAGCAACCGAATAATGCATTATATCCGCTTCGCATATATATATATTTTTAACAATTTTTATTCATTATCATAAGCAATATATATTTTTTGAAATATGAGTATAATATATTTGAACGTTCAAAATGATTATATGAACTTGTTTTTTTTAATGCGGCTAAGAGTTTTGTTTTCATATTACATACTGAGATTTATAAAGCATCATCTGGAAAAAAGTTCGGTCAGATGTGTAATAAAAATTATATCTCTATATTATTAACGTGTGCAAAAGGCCCAGTGTGGGGCCCAACAGAAATCGGGTGGGCACCACGTGGGCCAAGCGGGACACTCGAAGGCCGAGAGAGGGTCAGGCCCTGTACTGGGAAGTGAACCGCATTGGCTGGCGGCGGCCGACGAAGCACA